GTTCTTTACACTACCTTGACAATTGATGAATAGATTTGATGTTTTATCGCAAAAAAAGATGAAGAAGAGGTAAACATCAACTTTTTCTAAAATTTATGTGGATTAAAAAAAGAAACATAAGAATATTTTATGTGTTTTCATTCAGGACCACAAGCACGCAAAATTATTGTGCATCATCATTGTATTTTTCAAATACACAACTTTAAATTTTTTTGACAACATGTATTTTGAATAATTTTTAAATTGGTTATATTCTTGCCCAATTATGTGCTCTACTACCAGTTAAATTATTGTTTTCCACCAAGTTCTTTATTTTTACCCGAGTTTAAATTTTCAAAATTATCAATCTTCATTCAGGACCACAAACACTCATAATTACTGCTTATATTCATTGTACTTTTTATACACACGGTTACTTAAAAAGTTGACAACATATATTAAAATTTATTGTGTAATTTTTATAAATTCTAGAAATTTATTAAAAATTGTTCAACTTGTATTAAAAAATTAACATGTTTATTGATACACGTCAAACATTTTTTTTTGAAATACACATTGTAATTTTTTTAATGTATGATGAACATTTAAAAAGAACATACATTGAATTTTTTTTAATAGGCGTTAAACTTTTTCCAAAAACTTCTTGAACATTTTTCGCAAATGCACAAACACTTTATTTACCTTCCATGGTATTAATTTTTTTCTTACATTTACTTTTTCAAATGGGAGAAAATAAAAATAAACGTGAACTTGAAAAAAAATTTGATTGTGATAGTCTCTTGGAGAGGTACATGGAAGCGCACCATGTAAAAGTCTTGCTCAGAAATAATAAAATCGGAGCACACTTTTGCTTCGTGGTTAGCTTATCCGCGGTTTGCAATCGGCCCACAGGTCTCAGGTTCGAACCTTGATTTTGCTATTTCTTCTCTCTTCTGTACTGACATGTGGGTCCCATGCTTCTTCCGCTGACGTGCCACCGGCATACCGTGAGATGTAGTCAGGACCATATTCGAGCATATCCTCGTATTTGAGGACCACAGTGAAGCATTTCATGAGTTTGAGGACCGTTATGTTACAGGCCAAAAAGTAGAGGGACTGTATGTGTAAGTATCTCTAAATAAATAGATGACTTTTCTGTTTAATGCATTCTCCAAGGAGCAAATTTTAATTGGTAGTGCATAAATACAGATTAGGTAATCAAGAAATAGATACAAAATCATGCATGTTCAAATTTATTGGCACAATTTTGTAACAAATTCAAAACATAGTTTCAGAAATTAGTGGTCGAAGACAGAGATTTTGACTATATATTTCGTAGGACACTCTGGAACCAAGGTAATTAGTTTCAAAGAATAATAAAAGAATGCCACTTTTTCTGTGAATAATAAGGTCATTCGAAATTTTAGTGTTTTCTACTTGATAAGATATAATTTTAACACTTATATTACCTCTATATAATTTTTTAATGTCCATAATTAAACTGATGTTATTATATGTAGGGCCTAATTTGAAATTTTGCACAGGGGCTCCATTTAGGCCCTAAGTAAAAAACAACAAGTATAATTCCATGATAACAAAATTCAGGGCGTTATCTCTGCCCATCACACATAGCATAAGCAAACAAGAATCCGATCTTCCTCCTCTACAGAGAATCAATTGTTGGTGCCCTCCGTTTCAAAAAAAAAATGTTGGTGCCCTCAAAATTTTATTTTCTTTGAGAACCACCTCCTGGAATTTATTCATTCAAGCGGAACATCTCTGACCCTTTTCTTACCGCTAGGGTCCATGCCGGTAGGGTTGTACACCCTACCAGAAAATTTTCCTAAGTATGAAACATAGTGCATGCTCGCACCCATCGCCGGGCACCTTGACGATAGGGTTCTACACCCTACCGAAATTTTTTCCTAAGTACGAAACACAGTGGATGCTCGCGCCTATCGTCGGGCACCTTGGCGGTAGGGTTGTACAGGCTACCGCTAGCCTGGTTGGCGGTAGGGGCGTTTCCTACTGCCAAGGTCCCTGGCGGTAGGCTGTTACACCCTACCGCCATGGACCGTGGCGGTAGCAAAAGGTTCAGAACTCGATTTTTTTACAAATTGGATCAGATCTCAATTAACTTTCAAAAAAAGGTCAAAACACGAAAATTTGCCGCTCATCTTCCGTGACTCGCTGCATGCGTACGTTCTGTTAGGCCATAGGCCATAGCCTACGTGTATACCGGGGAGGGGCCACTCGATTTTGGGGGCCCGGGGCGGCCGCCCCCCTGCCCCTCCCCAGGGCCTGCCCTGGCAACATTGGCTAGCCAGTTGAGCGACATGTGAATCATGTAGAGTAGTGATATTTTTTCGCGGGGGTATGTAGAGTAGTGATATAACCACAACATAGACCTATTTCCTGTATCGTTTGCGTTCAGGAGAACACAAAAAGGTAGCCTTCCTTTTTTTTAGAAAAATCATGAAGCGATTTTCCTGATACGTACCAGGTTTGTGTTAATTTTGAATTTTCATTTTTATATCAATAATACAGTTATTGTACATTATAAATCTTTGTTCTTTTTTGTTCTTTAGTAACCTGAAGAGGTAGATATGGATGTAATTCTTACTTCTGGTGTTCTTTATACTGCCTTGACAATTGATGAATAGATTGGAAATTTTCTCGCAAAAAAAGAAGAAGAAGAGGTAAACATCAACTTTTTCTAAAATTTATGTGGATTAAAAAAAAGAAACAGAAGAAAATTTTATGTGTTTTCATTCAGGACCACAAGCACGCAAAATTATTGTGCATCATCATTGTATTTTTCAAATACACAACTTTAATTTTTTTTGACAACATGTATTTTGAATAATTTTTAAATTGGTTTTAGAAATTGGTTATATTCTTGCCCAATTATGTGCTCAACTACCAGTTCAATTATTGTTTTCCACCAAGTTCATGTTTATTTTTACCCGAGTTTAAATTTTCAAAATTATCTATCTTCATTCAGGACCACAAACACTCACAATTACTGCTTATATTCATTGTATTTTTTTATACACACGGTTACTTAAAAAGTTGACAACATATATTAAAAATTATTGTGTAATTTTTATAAATTCTAGAAATTTATTAAAAATTGCTCAACTTGTATTAAAAAATTAACATGTTTCTTGATACACGTCGAACATCTTTTTTGAAATACACATTGTAATTTTTTTAATGTATGATGAACATTTAAAAAGAACGTACATTGACAATTTTTTAATATGCATTAAACATTTTCCAAAAACTTTTTGAACATTTTTTGCAAATGCACAAACACTTTATTTACCTTTCATGGTAATTGTAATTTTTTTCTTACATTTACTTTTTCAAATGGGAGAAAATAAAAATAAACGTGAACTTGAGAAAAAAAACTATTTGGTTGTGATAGTCTCTTGGAGAGGTACATGGAAGCGCACTATGTAAGAGTCTTGCTCAGAAATAATAAAATCTAAGCACACTTTTGCTTGGTGGTTTGCTTATCCGCGGTTTGCAATCAGCCCACAGGTCTCAGGTTCGAACCTTGATTTTGCTATTTCTTCTCCCTTCTGTATTGACATGAGGGTCCCATGCTTCTTCCGTACGCTGACGTGCCACCGGCATACCGTGAGATGTAGTCAGGACCGTATTCGAGCATATCCTCATATTTGAGGATTACAGTGAAGCATTTCATGAGTTTGAGGACCGTTATGTTACAGGCCGAAGAGTAGAGGGACTGTATGTGTAAGTATCTCTAAATAAATAGATTACTTTTTTGTTTAATGCATTCTCCATGGGGCAAATTTTAATTGGTAGTGCATAAATACAGATTAGGTAATCATGAAATAGATACAAAATCCCGCATGTTCAAATCGATTGGAACAATTTTGTAACAAATTCAAAACATAGTTTCAGAAATTAGTGGTCGAAGAAAGAGATTTTGACTATATATTTCGTAGGACACTCTGGAACCAAGGTAATTAGTTTCAAAGAATAATAAAAGAATGCCACTTTTTCTGTGAATAATAAGGTCATTCGAAATTTTAGTGTTTTCTACTTGATAAGATATTATTTTAACACTTATATTACCTCTATATAATTTTTTAATTTCCATAATTAAACTGATGTTATTATATGTAGGGCCTAATTTGACATTTTGCACAGGGGCTCCAATTAGGCCCTAAGTAAAAACAACAAGTATATATGCCATGATAACAAAATTCATGGCGTTATCTCTGCCCATCACACATAGCATAAGCAAACAAGAATCCGATCTTCCTCCTCTACAGAGAATCAATTGTGGTGCCCTCCATCTCCAAAAAAAAATTGTTGGTGCCCTCAAATTTTTATTTTCTTTGAGAACCACCTCCTGGAATTTATTCATTCAAGCGGAACATCTCCGATTGAACAAGCTCAATCAGGAAATCAGGGGTAACATGCATCCAAATTACAGAAATTAATGACGGATAAAGCATGCCTATCACATTGGTGCCCTCGAATTAAATACACAAAGGAATTACTCTCGTTTCCTAAAGAGAAATTACTAGTATAGGTTCTCTCTGCCATACCACTGGTTTAAGAAAATATAATACATTGGAAGAACCTTTCCGCCATTAGCAGGGTCCTTCCAGCATCGCACCCATATAGCATACATAAGTAAATAATTAATTTGAAACAGTGAAGTAGTACATAGTTACTCGATACTCGAACATACAAAGGATTACAAGGAGGACTACATGAGTTTGAACTGGTACAAATTAACTACTAGCACACACACGGAATACGCTTAAACTAATGCTGATCTTGTCCAAGGGGGCATCAGCTTTGAAGACCTATTACAACGAGGGATACAATGAGTTTGAACCGGCACAACTTAACTACTACTAGCAGACATGGAATCCGCTTAATAAACTAAACTAAGTGCTGATCTTGCCCACGGGGGACATCAGCTTTGAAGACCTAAGCTAACAAACAGACCGATTTCAAACTCATCATCGACATGATCAGTTCCCGACCAGTGATATCAGGAGAAGGAAAATGTGGTACGGCAGCGAAACGACTCCGATCAACACGAAAGGCAGGATCTCAAGAGGACCGTTGGCACAGTGCGACTCTATCTGCCGGGAATAGTAGAACGCTGCTGCCGCAAACCCGCAAGAAATCTGGGAGCAAAGAACCGCAAAGAAGAACAACCCACGGATCACAGTTAACCGCCATCCCTCTATCCGCTCCAAGCCTTGCTTAGGCACTAACCTGTCCCTCTCCCTTTCGGCGCGCTTCTTGGCCTTGACGAGGGCGTCCTCCTTGTCCTGCGAGGCCTTCAAAGCCGCCGTACGGAGCTGCAGCTCCTCGGCCGCGGGATCGCGGGCGTTGGTGTGGTGGTAGGCCAGGGTGGACTTGTATTTGTCGAGGTTGCTGCAGGCCAGCGTGTAGGCGTCGCGCGCGGCGTTGTACGCCGCCTCCTCCTCCTTGGCGACCCATTGGTGGGCCTCGTGTGCACTCTCGATGAGGATCCGAACCAGGTTGATGGAGATCATGGAGAGAACGATGAAGCACGCTAGCCATCGCTCACACATGATGATCTGCCCACGCATCTTGTCTCGGTCGCAGCCAGGGACGCTTGGGGGGCTAGGAGCAGGGCTGGAGGCTGTGGAGGAGGAGTTGGAGGTGAAGGTGGTAATGGCCATGGCGAAGACGAAGATACCAAACATGTTGTTCACTAGGCCAGTGTGGATTTCAACACTCTTTCGCGCAAGCTGGATAAACATGAGGGGTTTCTTGTTGTTGTTGGGTGTCGACATTGTGGGCTGCGGGCTAGTTGCTGTGGAGTGCTACAAGCTCATCCATGAGCTCTTCTTATACAGAGGAAGTGAGCGACGGGACGGGGGTGAGGGGCTTCCAGTAGCGCAACAATAGCTACCCGGCGTGGTGGTACTACTACTCCACAGCTACAGTGCAGTTGCAGCCCCGTGGTACTAGTCCCCTAGCAACTGGACCGCTAGGAGGTGTAGCCCCGTGGTACTACTACTAGGCCTGCTAGCTACTATCCGACAGCTGCAAAGCCTGCCTCACCACGGCGAGACAGAGAATCAAATCAAAGGACAAAATTACTGTTCTGACCCTTTAGCCAAAGTAAACCCCGATTTGACCTCGGTTCAAAAAAAAAATTCGTTTCTGACCTTTTTCGGTGACGCCAAGGTCCCTGGCGTCTGGGTTACGAAGCAGACGCCAGGGTCCCTGGCGTCTGGCCCCTGGCCCGCGCTGCCCGCCTGCCCGTTGACCTGCTGACGTGGCAAAGGGGCCAGACGCCAGGGACCGTGGCGTCTGGCCCCGGTAAGTGGATAACCCCCGCGGGCCGAGCCCACCCACCCACCCTTCTGTTTCTTCCTCCCTGCGGCGCACGAACAGAGGAGGTTTCTCCCCTTCGCCCCTCTTCCCCCTCACACCAATCCCCCCCTTGATCTACCTAATCCTCCACCCAAAGTTGTGGATCTGAGCCCCCCAAGCTTCTTTGAGGTATTCTCCCCCATTCCCTCCAATTTGTTTTGCTTTCCCCCTCTTTTGTTGGATGCATTATTTCACATTAGGTGATGTTAGATTAGTAGATGGTTTCTTTGATTTAGGAAATAGTTTGTAGTTGATAGATGATTTGGTAGGTAGTGTAGTTGCTAGATGTTTGTAGTTGATAGATGAATTTTTTTTTTGAATTATAGATGATATATGCATATGCTAGTAAATTAGCTATATGTTGAATATATAGGCATAATCTTTGTTTGAATCTGAGAAGACAACTTTGGCAAGCAAATATATTTAGATAAAATATTATATGTGTGAAGTGGTATGAAAATATAGTTGAATATATAGATGGCAATTTTTTTTGTGCAAAAGAGATGATGAAATGGCGGATGATGATTATGAAATTTATTTGATGGTGAAATTTGGTTCTCTAGATGATATGTGTGCATATGTAGAAGAAAGAAATGATGTGGTTATTTTTGATAAGAATGGTGTTTCATATGGCATAAACTTGGAGAAGCAAATTGTTTGATATTGTTTATGTATTAATAGATGTTTGTGATTTGTTTTGTAGGATGGCGGATAATGAGGGACCTTGGTATGACGGATTAATCGATGAGTGGGATAAGGAGCATCGTGCTCGTGCCATTGAGAACGGCAATGTAAGAAGCAAGACTTATAAATTTTCGTTCTTTCTCATTTGTGTTCTTGTATTGATTAAAACATCACTTTATTTGCAGGTTGTAGTTGCTATGCGCATGAGGGGTCATTCCGCTGATGACTTTGATTACGACCCGCGGTATGAGCCTTACATTCGGAGATTGGGTCTTCTCCCATTCGTGTTGCAGTTTAAGCGACGCGCCCCGCCGGTGAACCACGCGGCGCTGACCGCACTTGTGGATCGTTGGAGGCCGGAGACTCACTCCTTCCACCTTCCATGTGGCGAGATGACGATGACCCTACAGGACATGGCTATGATAAGCGGCCTTCCTATCAACGGACAAGCTGTTACCGGTCGTGTCAGCGTGGGTAATTGGCGAGAACGGACTGCCGATTTAATTGGCGTTCAGCCCGAGGGCCCTCAGGAAGGCAAGGCCGATACCGCGAAAGTGAGGCATTCTTGGCTAAAACTGGTCAGAGGAAACACCAACCCGTGCCCTCAGGATGCCAATGACGTGGTTGTGCAGCAGTACGCGCGGGCCTATCTTTGGTATGTACTAACCAAGGTAGTCTTCTCAGATGCAACTGGGAACTCAGCCCTCTGGATGTTCTTGGAGCCACTTAACAACTGGGATACCCAGTATAGCTGGGGTTCGGCCGCACTAGCATATTTGTATCGTCAGGTAAGAGATATTTGCAACCATTTATCTTGCATTTGTCATGCGCCTCCATATCTAACATGTTTGTTTGATTGCAGCTTGACTTGGCGTGTCGGAGGAAGGGAGGTACATCCTCATTGTGTGGGTTTGTTTGGAGCCTATCCGTGTGGATGTGGGAGCGGATCCCGGTTGGACGGCCCGATTTGAAGAACCCCCTCATGGCAAACCCACGGGGTAATCATGATGGGTTGCATGATGATGATCCATATCGGCGCCCTACGCTTGCTTACTATTGGGAACAAGTGACAATGTACACAGGAAGCTCGCATGTGCGATACAAGTGCTATATGAACGAGCTGGACACCTTGACTGCTGAGCAGGTTATGAGAAGTTCGATGAGATAAAATTTAGTCAAGAATGAAACTTATGTATGTAGCTAACAATGTATCTCTTTGTTTTGCAGGTACATTGGTTGCCTTATGTGGAAGATCGTGACTTTGATCTTAATGAGATGTGCACGCGTGATAGCCATCTTTGGCGGGCGAGGTGCCCAATGATATGCTTCTTCGCAGTCGAGTGGCACTTTGTAGACCGTGTGGCAAGACAATTTGGAAAAAGACAAGGTATTCCAATTGAGGAGAGCAAGGAGGAAATGCTATCTCTGCATCGGTAAGCAAGCATGCCTTGAGTATGTAGTAGAGCATTGAATAAGTCAGTGTTTGCTAATGCTTTGTCCCGTGCATCATTTGTAGGTTCGATCGAAGGAACAATCAGGATATATCGGATTGGGCAAACAAACACCGTGCGTGGATAGAAATTTGGAATCAAAGAGACACGTTAGTGCAATCAGAGAATAGACCTCACAATCAGTCAGCATATCAGAAGTATCAAGTGTGGTATGCGGATCGTTACCGGTTAAAGCTGAAGCCAGGTTGGACTCACGAGGAGTGGTCGGAGTTGGTGTCTGAAGACCCGGAGACTGCAGAAGGTTATCATACCTTCAACACGGCTGTGAGAGACACCAGAGGGGCTCATGTTGACTACGCACCGATGCATGACGAAATGGTAGTCTGTTTGACCTATTCTAACATACTTGCATCATGTTGTCTTCTTTCAAATACATAAGTTTGGTGTGTTCATGAATTGCAGGGCAGAGAGTTGCTTCTGTGCGTCAACGATGCCAATGTTGCACTGAGTCATCCACCTGGTGGTGCATTATCTGAGAGGACTCTTAGGAGCACGATGGAGGTTAGTCGCAATATATTATAAAAGTTTTTTTCGCGGATTAGTTATTTGCATCTCATATCATATCATCTTTTGTGTTGTCGCAGAAGTTCAAGAAGCGGTTCCATAAGATGGCAGCTATGCTTTCTTGCCATGGTGCTCAGTCCAGTGACGTGTATGCACCAGGTAGCCGCGCCGCCAGAGCTAATAAATGGCGTTATGTCCAGAACGAAGAGGACATAGAGGAGGAGGTCAATGAGGAGGAGCCAGCACATCAAGAGGAGCCAACACATCATGATGAGCATGAGTATGATGCAACACATCAAGAGGATCATGAGTATGATGTTGATGCTCCACAACCATCACAGGTTACACAACCGACACAAGGCAATGCCCGCTCTAAAAAAGGCAAAGCAATAGCTAAGACACCGGGCCAGAAAGGTAGAAAGAAGATATGGAACACTCAATTCCATAGTCCGGAGTATCCTCATCAATTTATGCCTGCGGGAATGCAAAGATATAAGTCCAACATTGATGCAGAGGCGGAGGAGGCTAGTGAAGAGGAGGAGCATGAGGCTAGCGAAGAGGAGGAGCATACACTTGCAGAACTTGCAAAGAGAGGAAGGAAGAAGTGAACTTGTTGTAGTTTGTTTCAATGAGTTTGTTCTAGTTTGTTTTCATATGAACTTGTTGTCATTTCTTTTCATGAACTTGTTGCCGTTCGAATTAAGTTGCACCGGATTCGTGAAGTTGCTATGAATGTTTGACATGAATGAATGATGTGATTTATGGTAATTGTTGTTTCCTGTGATTTAGTCATTTAAATGAATGTTTATATGAATGTTTGACATGAATGATGAAATCTGTATTTAGTCATTTCATATGCACAGGGAGCCAGACGCCAGGGTCCTTGGCGTCTGGCTGTATGTCAGGGGACCAGACGCGAGGGTCCTTGGCGTCTGGTTGTATGTCAGGGGACCAAACGCCAGGGTCCTTGGCGTCTGGCTGTCTACTGACACCAGAAACAGGGTAAAGCAGGGGAGCCAGACGCCAGGGTCCTTGGCGTCTGGTCCTGGTGCAGACAATTCTTGCTTTTTCACTTGTAGTTTCGAATAACACACATACATAAGCATTGCATAGTCTTTTCATACCATTATAGTTGACAAATGACAAACTTAGTGAAATGAGAGCGATGGTCTACAATACAATGTCTCGAATGACATAGCAAATTACAAACATTGTTCAAATTACACAAATAGTCTCGAATGAGAAGTTCATCATACAATGTTTAGAATGACATAACTAGTTCATGACCACGATGGTTGAAACGACATGAACATCACATATAACTCGGTTTCCTGTAGCAATGCAAGTCAACAACCCTTTTCCACTTCCATTCTTCCAGCATTTCTTGAATCTTGTCATCATCAGTTATGTCAACCAATTTTCTTTCCCCGGGGCCATCTGACTTCCTCCTGCTGACGTAGTACACAAAATCCTCTTCCTTCAACCCTTGCTTCAACATGAATTTAGTCTTCAACCAATCGAAAGTTAGTTCCCCTTGACTAACTTCCACAATACATGGAGACAAGCCATGCACATGAACAACAGGGCTGAGCACCCACTGAGTTTCGTTAGCCATCTACAACACACAAATCTCTTAGTATCTAACCTCTATGATACATTAAACAAACTAGGGTTTTCACAAAGGTATGATAAATTAAACCAACCAAAAAATGGGG